GTTTTTAGATCATGCCTTTTGTCGAAAACCCTTCCGACTACTTGGCTTGGTTAGAAAAGATAGAAAAATCCAAGTCTCAAATTTGGAAGAAGATGGGTATCTATGACCTCATCTAGCTGTCAAAGATAGGACCAGGTTATTGTCCTCCTATGCTCATTGCTTCCCTATACTTCTGCAACAGCAGCCCCAACAACATCCATCTCCCTTACGGAATGTTTACCCCGACTCTTTTCGAGGTTGCTGCTATTATTTGCTTGAAACCCATTGGAGTGACCTATGACCCCAATCTCTTAACTGATGACTCGATAGGTTTTTATACCAACAAAGAAGCCTTCACCACTCATATCACCAATTATCATGACAAAGAAACCAACGAGGTTTCTGATCAAGAACATGTTGCCTTCTTGGGCCTCTGGCTCTCACGTTGCGTCTTCTGCTCAAGGTCTCTCCAAGTGGCGAAGAGATACTTGACTATGGCAAACCAGTTCCATACTAGACATGACCTTTGTCTCAGTGAAATCATTCTGCCTAATCTTTATGAGTCTCTTGGCGAAGGTGTCGCAGCATTAAAGACCATCCAAACAAAAGGAAGCTTGCTCCTTTCAGGATCTTTCTAGCTGCTGCAATTATGGCTGAATGCCACTTTTGAAGCATCTCTTCCTAATCGAAACCCCATAAATGAAGCTTCCTTCTAAGTGAAGAGAAGAAGAGTTGAAGGGTTGAGGCTTACGCTGTTGACTCCTAACGACGAAGGAATGAACCTTCAGCAGACATTCACCAGTTACGTGATGATGTTTGCTAAACTTCATAATTTTTCTTCCAAAATGGCCCCTTTTGCAATAGAAAGGTGGGCCCTGAATGGTTTAAAAGAAGATTTCTTTCTAAGTCGAAGGGACAGGAATCTGAATCTCTTGATATTTCGGAATCCTTCCTTACATCAAGACTGCTGGCCTCAAGGCTCAACCCCTGCAATCTTTGAATTTCTCTTGTTAGCTATCAACCAAATCTCGTCTCTCGATAGTTTGGCTTGATTCAGTTTAAACCCAAACCCCTCTTTCCCAAAAAGGGTTCGTTGATCCATTTTGACATCTGGCACAATGAAGCAGAATGTACCAAGTTGCTAGCCAAGTAATCTAATCTTACAGAGTTCAATTATGTGCCTTTCAAACCAAGTTTTCTCTGCACCAGAGAGTTCGACGAGTGGTGGAGAGAATATCATACTGCTAAATTCTTTTATGTAGCTGCCTTTGATCTCCATCTAACTAGAGCTTTTGCCCTTGTATAGGATAAAGTGAATAAAGGTACTACAACATACATCAAAGAGATCTAACCATTCCATAAATACTTTGAAACTGCCTACAGATCAGATGATCTTAGTCGAACCATTAGCGAAGCAGGCGTGACTTTAAAATAAAAATTTACAAAGAAATTAAAGAACTTAAAACTTCCTTCGTTTGTTCTACCTGATCAACATTACAAATTAAAGTTTAATCTCTATCCTTCAAAATTCCCTCGAATGTCGTCTGCTGATTTTGGTGTGACTTTTAGCCCTCCATTCCCAAATTGGTTTGTCAGTGGGGATTTTATAAATATTCTTCGCCAAGAATCTCAAAGGCGTGCTAGGTGAGTGGTTCCAACTATGTATACTCAGGACAATTTCAAAGGCCACCTTCATATTGGCATTGAACACGTTCGTGTGGAGTCTCCAATATATGAAGGTGTGGAATGGGAGGTTCTTCGACACAACTTCTCTTTTTTTTTATATATTTTATATTTGGCTTATACTTACTGCATTGATTTTCTTTTGTAGCTATAAAGATTCTCGCCAAAAAACCTACTCCCGTGGAAAGGGAAGTCGTCAAAGAGGAAAAAGAAGAGGACAACACCAAGAAACCCACAATAAAGGTAGACCTTTTAGCTTATCACTTCTTCTCCTTGTTATTATATTGTCTTCTTAATCTATCATCTAAAATATAATATTTTTGCAGGGTGGTCGGAAATTACCTCTGACACCTAAAAAGAGAAAGCAGCAAGAACCTGAGGTTCATGTAATTGAATCCGATGATGGGGACGCTTCACCAGACCACTCCAAACACACCAAGAAGAAGAAAAAGAACACAAAAATCACTGATGCAGATTTTCATCCTCAACTAAAACCAACAAAAGTGCCTACAAAGAAACCTTCTACCTCAAAGGTGGCAGAATCTGATGCTACGCCTGATAGCAAGAAATCAATCGACAAGAAGAACTCTGATCAGGTAGAGAGTGATAACTCTAGCCCTAGGACTGGAAATCCTAAGGTACCAAAATTTCTTCTTCTTCTTTGAGTTTTATGGCTATTTTCGACTAACATACTTCTAATCCTTTTTTGATTTCTTCTTCTTAGGATTCCAAAGATAACAAGGGGCATCCCATTATACAAAAAATCATCCCTACCACAAGTAGTGATCCCACCTATCATCCGACAACCCCTTCCAAGACTTCTCGTAAGGATTCTACAAAGGAATCTGTTGATGATGTGAGCCAACTAGCTGGTGATCAAAAGAAATCACCACTCAAGGCCACTACTGAGCTCTCACATACCAATACACCTGATTAAGAGAAATGTCTGACGAGGGAGGAAGTCTTAGTTGATGTCGCAGGAGATGCTAAAATGCTGTCTGCAGAAGAAGTCGAAGACAAATCTGAAGATGGTTTTCCATTCAATCAATAAGGTGGTGGTGGAGAAAAGGGTGAAGAGGATAAAGGGGAGGAAAAGGATCACCCTATGTTTGACTTTGAGACTGAAGTTATCGTGGAGGACGAAGATGAAGAAGAAAAAGAGAAAGATAAAACTGAAAATGAAGACGAAAAAGAAAAGCAAGAAGATCAATCGAAAATGACCCACATCCAGATGCTTCGACTAGTACGAATTCTACCAGCCTCTCACATGAAGAGCTAGAGTCCTTGAAAGTGAAGAGGCCACTGAAATATTTAAAAGCCATGATCAACTCTAGATATAGCTTTGGTGATAAGAGTACCAGCACTTTGACTGCCTCAAGCAATCAGTCAACCAATAAGCCTGAGGATGACTTGCTTCCCAAAATCAAGGAGAAAATATTCAATAATGATTTATTCCAACTCTTGGAGAAAGATACTTCTGCCAGTTTTGGAATCAAGAAACTCTTGAAGCAAGTCAATGTTCTAGAGGTTTCCCCAGAAGTTGTTGATGCCATAATGGAGCTAAGCACATTAATTGATCTTGTTGCTGCTGATCTAAATTGTCTTAGGTATTTCTATGACAAAATTAACAAAAAATCAGAGACCCAATTAGCTTAATGGGATGCAGCCTCCGAATCCACCTTGAAGGCTTCAAACTTGGAAAAGGTCTCTGAGCAAAATAAGAAAGAAATCGCAAGCTGCGATAAAAGCATCGGAGAATGGAAGAAGCAGATGAAAACTTTACAAAGCAAAATTTCTCAAGCTAAGCAACGTAAAGATGAACTTTTCAAGTTCGAACAAGAAGAAGTGGCCAAATAACTTGAGGTTGGAAAGTATCATGTCGACAAAGCCTGAAAGCTTGGACAGGAAATCGAAGACCCTTCAATCGTTCGACCTGTCAAACTCTATCAGCCAACTGGGTCATATCTCTCAGGTATTGAGTATCCAACTTCTTCCTAACTGAGTAGTCGAGGCCGCCAGCGACCATTTTGACCAATTCATGTTCAGGAACTAGAGTAAATCACATTGCTTTAAGCAATCGAAACCTATTTAGATAACCATCAATTGGCTTAGAAAACTTCCTCTTGATACCAGCCAACTCTTTTAGACTTATCTTTTCCTGTCCCATATAGAATTGCTCATGGATTAATCTCTCCAACTGAGTCCAATTGTGGATCGAATTTGTTGGCAATGTTGTAAACCAAGTAAAAGTGTTTTTAGTGAGTGAACTTGGGAAATATTTCACTCTTAGGTTTTCATTGTTAGCTATTTCTCTAGCCTCTATTAAATATCTTGTCACATGTTCGATTGTGGACTCTCTAATATCCCTAAAAAACTTGGTGAATTTGGGAACTTTCCATCATGGGGGTACATCTGGCTGCAAGATATATTTAGATAAAGGTGATGTATAATTTGGTCTATGAAGGCCAATATTTACCCAATTTTTGGTCGTATTCCTTTCAACCATGGCTGCTAGGTTGTTATCCGCTATGACATCTTCGCGTCGAACTTGGTTTATTACTTCATCAGTGTACTTCTATTCGCCACAACTACCTTGGGTTCCTTCTGGATTGGTTGTTCGACTCTATGAGGTTCGACCTTGGGCGGTTCAACTATTGTCCCCTGGTTTAAAACGTTCGCCTGGGATATATTTGGTTGAACTTGGTTAATTGTAGGATCTTCTTCTAAGACCACCCTAGTACTTTGTACCACCCACTCCCTCTAGGGATATCGAGGGGGTTGTGGGAGGAAACTCTTTACAAAAACATTTCCTATACTTAGAAAATATTTCTAAGTATTTCCTCAAGCATATCTCTTTACAAAAAAATTTCGAAAGAATCTCACACCAATCCCTTGTCGAAATCAACCAAACTTAAAAACTTTCATTTAATTTCTCAGATGGGAACATGGCATCAAAATTCTCAGCCAACAGCATGCTACGACATATGGAGACCATGCAAGAGATAATATTGTCCAACAAGGCCAAGAAGGAAGTATCCAAGATGGGAGTCTAAGCAAGACTCAAGATACTGAGGAATTAAGTATGGAGGTTGTGGAGGAAACTCCACAATAATTTAGTGGTTTTGGGTTCTCGTTTCTTGTTCCATCATCAATATTCATGATAATAACAAATCGGGATATTTTGTGTGGAACTGTAGAGGAGCAACAAGTTCAAAATTCTTTAGATATTGTAATCATTACATGACTATGTATAAGCCCAAAATTCTAGTCATCCTTGAAACGCGTTGAGACCTATGAAGCTTAAGAAGGTGTTTAAAAAGCTTGGTTTTGAAGGGTTCATGGCCACTGAGAATCATGGTTATGTAGGTGGTGTTGTTATGGGTTGGATTGAAGGTGAAGTTAGGGTGTCTTTAATTAGTAAAGAGTTCCAATTTACCCACACTAGGTGCAATTTGGTAGTGGACCAGTTTGGAGCTTCACTACAGTTTACGCTAGCCCTAATGGTGACAATAGGAAGATATACTTTGGAAAGACTTGAAGAGAATTAGTAGATCAATGCAGCAACCTTGGATTATAGATGGAGACTCAATGATGTAGCATATGATCATGAGAAGAGAGGAGGCGCTCCCGTGTCCCAAAATAGATGCAGGAAATTTTAAAACCGAATAAAGAAATGTGGGCTGCTGGACTTGGAGTTTATAGGCACGAAATTCACTTGGAGAGGCCCAACTTATAATGGAGGGGAGCATATATACGAGAGATTGGATATGGCTATGCGTAATGATAGCTAGAGGTTAATATTTGCTGAGGGTTTTGTGAAGGTGCTTCCTCAGTTGGATTTTTCAGATCACCATCCAATCCTCATTTCTCCTATTCAGATATGTAGAAGGAGAGCCAAGCAATGCTTTCACTTTGAAAGTGCTTAGTTAGATGAAGATTCTTATCACACTATGCTTGAGAATTCTTGGAATAATAACAACCATGTCCTCCAAAATATTGAGCAAGTGAAGGAAGGTGCAAACAAATTGGAAACTTAGTAACTTCAACTAGATCACTAGACATAAAGAAATCTTGACGTGTCATATTAGAGACATCCAACGGAGTATCCATAAGAGACACAATGTTGTAGGTCTTAAGAAGTTGGAGAAGATGTTGCATGCAGAGATGTTTGATATCCTCAAGAAAGAAGAACAATTGTGGTTTCAATGCTCTCGGGCCAAATGGTTGGTAAAAAGAGATAGGAACACCAAATATCATCATTTTAAAGTTGTTCAACGACGAAGACAAAATCATATTCTCATGATCAAAGGTGAGGCAAGGAAGTAGGTGGATGATGAAAATCAAGTAAGGAAATTGTTCATGGTGCATTACAAGATATTGTTTTCTCTGAATGGCACTAGATTGGATTGGGAAAAAACTCCTTACTCGTTCCATTCCATAGAGCTAGAAACAAAGGAAGAGCTTAGTAAGCATCTAACTCGCAGAGAGATCAAACAAGTGTTGTTCTACATGAGTCCATGGAAAGCACCTGGGCCTGATGTTTTCATGCAGGTTTCTATTAAAGATCTTGGAATACTGTTGGCACAAGTGTTTGTGACTTTATCATGAAGGTGTGCAAAAGCCCTAGCGAAGTTCCATTCATCAAGAAAATGGACATCTGGCTGATTCCTAAACTAAAGCATCATGATTCCATTAATCATTATAGACCCATCTCGCTATGTGTCGCATCGCTGCGAAGAGGGGCCGACAAGGACAGAAGAGTCTCCATCGTTCGTTATTTATTCCAAAAAGAGGGAAAGGAAACAATTAGAGAAAAACTAACGAAAACGGGAGAAGACATGTCATTGCAACCATATATCGGGTTCGGGAGTCGGTTACGCAAGGAGAAGGTGTTAGCACCCCTCACGTCCGTTATACTCGACGGGATCCATGCTTTGTTGTCTATCTAAATGGGTGTTTACTATCTAAGCTACGGCTAAGGGACAGAAGAAAAGAAAAGAGACTCGATAGAGCATCGCCGCTCTAAGCTACGACCATTGGAGACTTAGGCGTTACCTGTTTGTGGTAGAACCAAGAACTAACGAAACTCTCCTTATAAAAAAGGTTTTCCAAATTAAGATCCCGAAGGATAAAAAGTTTGAAGTTTGTTTTTGTGTTTTTTAGAGAAGAAGTGCATTGATTATTGTTTGTAATTCATGTTGCACTAAAGACTATGACCTAGGAGCGAATGCCACACATATCATCCAAAGGACATACGCTAAACACTCTAGATAATTGAGAGGAGGCCCCTAATCACCATTTCCCAAGTACTTGAGGCTCGTAACGTACAACAATCCTTAACCTTTATTAGATGTTTTGAGAAAGTTTGAAGATGAGAAGAGAGAGACACTCTAAAGCGAGACTAAGACTCAACCTAATGTTCTCATACAAAGTGCACCTATGATTGGGATGAAAGGGAATGCTACCTAATGTTATCATGCATGGGTTCAAACCTAAGGTCTATTATTATCTACCTTGAACAAGGAAGATTAGAGGCCCTAAGGGAACATGGCAAAGAAGAAAGAAGAAGTAAGCAAAAGATAGAAGAAAGTAAATATGCATGCATGTAATGCACAACAAAGATGAAGAGGGAGGAAAAAGGTGTGGGGTAACCACCACCACAAGCACATCTTAACCTCTTCAAGCAAATAAGAACATGCAAAACAAATATGAAGAAGAGAGGTAGGAACAAAGTGTGGGGCAGTAGCCTCCAGAAGCACATCTCAACCTCAAGCATGCAAACAAAAGCAACAATGCAAATGATCATCACTTTGAACCACATCCATGAGCATGCATTCAAGTGGAAATCGAAATGCGCATCGAAGAAATCATGATTAAACAATCAAGAACAGCGACATATATCCAAAACATCTCACTCCTAATGCATCATACTGATCCATGAGAATTCAAAGTGAAATGACATCAAAACAAGCATGAAAATCAGCAAAACAGGCTTGCTGGCACAGTGTTAATCGATTAACACCAGGAGTTAATCGATTAACCACTTAAAAATGTTGGGAAAATTGAATATTTGCATTGGTTAATCGATTAACACTGTGTCAACAGCAGAAAACAGCAGTTCATAAGCACTTATCCAATAATCTGGATGATCACATAATCACTTATGCACTAATTTAAACCAGAAAGCAGTGATCCAAACAACATGTAAACACATTAAACCAGCAAGATCACAGATCATATGAATCAAATTTAGCCAAATCAATCGAAAATGAAAATCCACATGATAATTATGCAAATAAGCTCAAAAACAGAATCGGATCAAGAATTCCAACCTACGAAGCGGAGAATTGCTTCGGTAATTGTTGATTCACTCCAATTAAGCAGATCCAAACAAGAAATTAGAAATTCATTCAAGATCCAAGTGATTTCTTGTAGTAGAAATGAAGATCCACCAAAATTAAGTAAGAATTATCCAAATAAGCTCCTCTAAACCCACTTCAAAATTCAGATCCAAACTTGCACGAAAGTTGAATGGAAAATGGAGATGATGATGATGATGAAGGATGAAGGTTTAGCTCGTGGAGATCAATGATTCTAATGGAGAATCAAAGAATTCAAGGTGAGAAGAGCTTTGGTAGAGGTTTTTGGAGTGAAAAGTTGAGAGCAAATTGAGAGAGTGAATATGAATTCTGAAATGAGAGTGAAATTATGACGACTCTCCTTGTGAGGTTTGGAGCAAATCATTTAAATATCCCTTAGATTTGGATCCAAATGAGGTTTGGAGTGTGGTTTGTGAAAATTGGAATGGAATTAGGAATGTGAATTTGGAGGGAGTTTTAATTAATTTGAAAATTAACCAAAATTCAAAATGGTTCTAGATCCTTCCGTTGGTGTAAAATCAATTTCACATGTGATCAAAATGGACCCCAAAGTGATTTCTCTTGAAAATTCACATGCAGAGCTGAAATTTCCACTGGTTAATCGATTAAGCATATGTGTTAAACGATTAATATCTTCGAAAATTCAAATCTGGCCTGATTTTGCTTTGGTTAATCGGTTAACACTTTAAAATTTTGAATTTTGGCGCCTTTTGGAGAGAAAAATGCACATTTGTCTGTTTTCAACTGTTTTAAGCCATGTTCAACCTCTGAAACTTGCTCTTGAATATTATAACTGTGAGATAGCCTGAATGTTATCTTTTGATCTGAAAATATCCTGCAAAATAAAATAAAATCGACCGCTCGGTCGTCGGGCAAAATAAATGTCGGAACTGATGATGCTTGTTGTTTGGTCTCTTGCACTAAAAATGAAACTCGAGCCACATAAATGCCTTGATCCCATGCCTCAAGAACAAATGCTATGATATGCAAAAATGAGAAGGAATAAAAGTCAGGTACAAGAAATGGTTGGTCAAATTTTGGGGTATAACAGCTGCCCCTATTCAAGCGACTTGGACCTGAAGGGATGAAAAGCGAACGATTTTTAATCAGTCGAGGTAAAAGACAATTGAATACCAAATAACCCGGAAATTTGCCAACCGCAGAAATAGCACTGCGAACCCTCTTGGGGATGAAAATCTTTGGAGATAACTGAATCTGATAGTTGCAACGGTAAAAAGCTAACTGATTACCAATCAAAAAGCATCGACGCACAATCGGAAGAGACATCAGCTAATACGCAGGCAACGACACTAAGTCGGAAAGATCATCCGATATCACCATCAGGCATCTAACCCGAAGGTCGGCTCAACACGAAGCTGAGATCACCTGCTAATCTAAGCAGGCATTCGCTAAATAAAAGCGAGCATCAAACCCGAAGGCCGACTCAACACGAAGTTGAGAACATCATCTGGCATCGCCGCCAAGCATTTGTTAAATAAAAACAGGCATCGAACCCGAAGGCCGGCTCAACACAAAGCTTAGACCATCTGTTAATCCAAGCAGGCATCTGTTAATTAAAACGAGCATCGAACCCGAAGGTCGGCTCAACACGAAGCTGAGAAGAAACATCTGACATCGCTGCCAGGCATCTATTAAATAAAAACAGGCATTGAACCCAAAGGCCAGCTCAACACGAAGTTGAGAACATCTGCTAATCCAAGCAGGCATCCGTTATTTAAAACGAGCATCCTACCCGAAGGCCGACTCAACACGAAGCTGAGAAGAAACATCTGACATCGCCGCCAGGCATCTGTTAAATAAAAACAGGCATCGAACCCAAAGGCCGGCTCAACACGAAGTTGAGAACATCTGCTAATCCAAGCAGGCATCTGTTAATTAAAACGAGCATCGAACCCGAATGCCAGATCAACACGAAGCTGAGAAGAAACATCTGACATCACTGCCAGGCATTTGTTAAATAAAAACAGGCATCGAACCTAAAGACCGGCTCAACACGAAGTTGAGAACATCTACTAATCCAAGCAGACATTTGTTAATTAAAACGAGCATCGAACCCGAAGGCCGGCTCAACACGAAGCTGAGAAGAAACATCTGACATCGCCGTCAGGCATCTGTTAAATAAAAAAGGGCATCGAACCCAAAGGCCGGCTCAATAAAAAGTTGAGAAGAAACATCTTGAGAATACTCCGCAGGGGAAGAGAGAAACTTAACCAAGCAATTATGATAGGGAGAAATTTAACCAAATAACTCTGCTTTGGAAGCGCAAAGAAACTTAACCAAATAACTCTGTTGGTAATCACATAATAAGATGAACACGTCCATCAAAGATTGCACCATGGCCTGGATACCACCAAGGTAGAGAGATCAACGACCTGGCTTATGTTTCACATGCATATGTTTGAATATGGCGTAATGCTCCATACAAAATGGAAATGCTACGCGTTTGGGAGGATGCTATGCACGAATGTAGATGCAACAAAACCGAATCAGCAAAATAAATGTTGAAGAGAAAAAGCCACCCTGCTGTAGAAAACGGAGCATGCCAATTACGATTGGACTTAAGCTGGGGAAACGAGCCCCAGATGGCTTCCTAAAAAAGAAATTCCTGAGTAACAATGTTCTAACAAGAACGGGACTCAACTCCGTTGGGGATCCAAATCATAACCTGCTGAAGAAAAATGCCCTGAACGGCTTTCCAGAATAAAAACCTTCTAGGGGATTGACAACCCTACTGGGGAATCACCGCAAACTCTACTGAAGAAAGTGCCCTGAATGGGAAACCAGAATACAATTCCGCGAGGAACAGACGACTCGGCTGAGGAAAGACAACCAGACATTGGAAAGGAATCTAACCTTGTCGAGGAATCAACGACTCTGTGGGGAAAGTACAACCAAATACCAAGGTTGATCATACTCTACTGGGGAAATCAGCCCGGAACGGGCTGCCAGAATATAACATTCCAGGGAACAGACAACTCTGCAGGGGATAACAATCAAACACTGAGAGTAACTTCACCTTACCAGGGGAAAAATAGCCCTGAACGGCTTCCCAGAATACAACTCTAGGGAAAGAAGCGACTCTACCGGGGAGTTAGAGTTTATTGCTGAGGAATAGCTCCATTCTGCTGGATATTCCACTTTGTTGGAGATAAAAAAACCACCCAGCCGGGGATACTCAGCTGGGGAAGAGAAATTTCCCTTCGGACT